TTCCTCCTGATGTGGCTGTATAACAGCTTTGGGTCAGATTTGGGTTTCACTGCTATGTTGTTTTCATATTGTCATTGGGCCTCCCTTCTTATCTGTGCATATTCATTTCCGGCTCTACAACTGCTCTCCTTATTCTCCTGGGTCCTTTGCCTTCTATATTTCTTCCATTCCCTAGCACACTTGGTTTTTGCCTCCCTGCACCTTTGAGTGAACCATGGGCTCATCCTGGCTTTTTCATTATTCCTGTTACCCTTGGGCACAAACCTCTCCTCAGCCTCCTTGCACATTGTTGCTACATATTCCATCATCTCATTAACTGGCTTCCCTGCCAGTTCTCTGTCCCACTGAACCCCGTTCAGGAAGTTCCTCATTCCTGTATAGTCCCCTTTCTTGTAGTTTGGCTTCATTCGTCTTGGCCTTCCTGCTTTCCCCTCCACTTGTAGCTCTACTGTGTATTCGAAGCTTAAAACCACATGATCGCTGGCCCCAAAGGGTCTTTCATATGTGATGTCCTCAATATCTGCACTTCTCAAGGTGAATACTAGGTCCAGTCTTGCTGGTTCATCCTCTCCTCTCTCTCTTGTAGTGTCCCTTACGTGTTAGTACATGAAGTTTTCCAGTACCACCTCCATCATCTTAGCCCTCCATGTATCTTGGCCCCCATGTGGCTCCAAGTTCTCCCAATCGATCTCCTTGTGGTTAAAGTCACCCATGACCAGGAGCGTTGCCCTGCATGCATGAACTCTTCTGGACACTGCAGCCAGTGCGGCAACCATCGCTCTATTGCTCTTGTCATACTCTTGCCTTGGCCTCCTGCTGTTCTGTGGTGTGTTATACATCACTGCAATTACCACTTTGGGACCTCCAGAGTGAAGCATTCCCGCTAAGTAATCGCTTGCTTCTCCGCTGTCCCCTCTCTCCAGCTCATCAAAATTCCATCGGTTTTTGATCAGCAGTGCCACTCCTCCACCCCCCCTGTTCTCTCTGTCTTTCCTCAGGATCTGGTATCCTGTTGGAAAGATGGCATCTGTTATCATACCTGTAAACTTGGTTTCTGTGAGAGCTATGATGTCTGGTGATGCCTCTGACTCTTTCATGCCACTCCTCCCACTTGTTTGTTATTCCATCAGCGTTTGTGTACCATACCTTCAGTTTCCTTTCCAACACTGTGGTTTGGGGAGGCCTGTGAGGGTGGGAGACCTGGTAGCATACTGTGGGATTCTATAGCTGGGTGTTGGGTGGAAGCTGTGAGTATGGATTGTAGTTTGTGTTGGGATGGTGTGATAGGTTGTGACGTTCTGAGGATGGTTCTGTGTGCTTGCCCTTGCTGCTCTGTCCTGCTCTGATTGACCTCTGCTGGTTCCGTCCTTGTCTCCTTTCCTAGCTCCTTTCGCTTTTTTGTCCTCTCCCTCAGCTGCTGCTGTTCTGTTTGTGTTCTGTCTCTGTCTAGGAACACCCTCTTGTACTCTTCCCAGTACTTCAACCGTGGTTTCTCTTGGAGCATCCTGTTCCACACTGTTTCTGTCCTGAGAATCAGCTTGATTGGTCGTTTTCTCCCCTTCAAGTACCCCCCTATTCTCTGAAAATTTACAATCTCGTCCATGTCTTCTTCACCTATTTCTGTGATGATGTTCTCAATCTCCTTTCTTTCTGCCTGCCATCTTTCAGTGTGTGTCCTTTCCTCTCTCTCCTGAAGCCCATGGATAAACACTGATTTTGCCCTTTCCTCCTCCCATTGCCTCTCCCTCTGTTACTCTGGTTCCTGTCTGTACGTGGTCATTTTCTCCCTTGTTTTTTCCAGTGGCTCTTGGTAGCATGGTTGTGCCTCTGCATTTGACCTATCACCCTCTCCATCTGCACCCAGCTGCCCTCCCCTTTCACTCCTTGGCCCTTCTTGGCAGGCTGATATGACTTTAGCATAATTCATATCTCCTTCCTTCCTGTTAGGCCTCTCAGCTTCATATGCTGTGTCTTCTCTGGTCAATGCCCCTGTAACTTGCTTCAGCCTGTTTACCTCTTCTTCTAGGACCCTTATCCTGGCTACTGCAGTTTCAACTTGTGCCTCCCAATTCTTCTTCTCCTTCTCCAACCTCTTTTTTTGATTTCACAGAAAGCTGTCTCCATTTTTTCAGATAGCTCTCCTAATTTTCTCTCCCACTCTTGCTCCATCCTTTTCCACTGCTTCTCCATCCACTCCTCCCTACTAGAACCATTCTCATCTGATCCCTGGTTCCTTCAAGTCCCCACCATTTTTTTCTTTTTTTTCCTTTGCTTCCCTTTCTTTTTTTTTGAAAGAGAAAAGTGAGAGAGAGAGAGAGAGAGAAGGGAAAGGTAGAAGGAGAGTGAGAAAGGAAAAGGGAGGAGAGAGAGAGATAGAGAGAGAGAGAGAGAGAGAGAGAGAGAGGAGAGAGGAGAGAGAGAGAGAGAGAGAGAGAGAGAGGGAGAGTGAGGGAGGGAGAGAGGGAGGGAGGGAGGGAGGGAGGGAGGGAGGGAGGGAGGGAGAGAGGGAGGGAGGGAGGGAGGGAGGGAGGGAGAGGGAGGGAGAGGGGGGAGGGAGAGGGGGAGGGAGAGGGGGGGAGGGAGAGGGGGGAGGGGGGGGGGGGGAGGGGGGGAGAGAGGGGGAGAGGGGGGGGAGAGGGGGGGAGAGGGGGAGAGAGAGAGAGAGGGGGGAGAGAGAGGGGGAGAGAGGGGGGAGGGGGAGGGGGGGAGGAGAGGGGGGGAGAGGGGGGGGAGAGGGGGGGGAGGGGGGGAGGGGGGAGAGGGGGGAGAGGGGGGAGAGAGAGGGAGAGGGGGGGAGAGAGAGAGGGGGGAGGGGGGAGGGAGAGAGGGGGGGAAGGGGGGGAGAGAGGGGAGAGGGGGGGGGAGAGAGGGGAGAGAGGGGGGGAGAGAGGGGGAAAAGAGAGGGGGAAAGAGAGGGGGAAGGGGAGAGGGGGAGTGGGGAGAGAGAGGAGAAAGGAGAGGAGGGGGGGGAGAGGGGAGAGGGGGAGAGAGGGGGGGGAGAGAGAGGGGGGGAGAGGGGGGAGAGGGAGAGAGGGGGAGAGGGAGGGGAGGGAGAGAGAGAGAGAGAGGGGAGAGAGAGGAGAGAGGGGGGAGAGGAGAGAGAGGGGGGAAAAGAGAGGAGGGGAGGAGAGAGAGATAGTGGATAGTGGAATGTTAGAGGAAGGGTTTCAGGTCAGTTTAAACAGGAAGGTGTGAATCCTGTGTATGTGTTTTGTAGTGCGTGTGTACTACAGCTTTTACAAGTGCCTGACCGCTTTTTCCTCTGTGTGTGTGTGTGTGTGTGTGTGTGTGTGTGTGTACTCACCTATTTGTGGTTGCAGGGGTCGATTCACAGCTCCTGGCCCCCTGTGTGTGTGTGTGTGTGTGTGTGTGTGTGTGTGTGTCTCTTCTTCCTACTCAATTATCATCATAACTAAGCATGCCTTCCTACTTAAAATGTAATATAATTAGATAATTGTTTTCATATAAGGAATTCGCATTACTACATGTCATAATGATATACATATAAATAATCATGATCTAAACTGATAATAATCATGATGTAACTAAGAATAACCCAAAAATGGCAAAAAAAAAAAAATCCATGGAGGACTATTTTGCATCCTGTGATTATAGTGGCGGTGATTGTGATGACATACATACACATGTATGTGTAAACTTGTATATATATAGCCACAGCACCGTGTCTTCCTTCGCAGGTGACACCCGAATCTGCATGACAGTGTCTTCCATTTGTGACACTGCAAAGCTCCAGGCGGACATCAACCAAATCTTTCAGTGGGCTGCAGAAAACAATATGAAGTTCAATGATGAGAAATTTCAATTACTCAGATATGGTAAACATGAGGAAATTAAATCTTCATCAGAGTACAAAACAAATTCTGGCCACAAAATATAGCGAAACACCAACGTCAAAGACCTGGGAGTGATCATGTTGGAGGATCTCACCTTCAAGGACCATAACATTGTATCAATCGCATCTGCTAGAAAAATGACAGGATGGATAATGAGAACCTTCAAAATAGGGAGGCCAAGCCCATGATGACACTCTTCAGGTCACTTGTTCTATCTAGGCTGGAATATTGCTGCACACTAACAGCACCTTTCAAGGCAGGTGAAATTGCCGACCTAGAAAATGTACAGAGAAACTTTCACGGCGCGCATAACGGAGATAAAACACCTCAAATTATTGGGAGCGCTTGAGGTTCCTAAACCTGTATTCCCTGGAATGCAGGAGGGAGAGATACATGATTATATACACCTGGAAAATCCTAGAGGGACTAGTACCGAACTTGCACACGAAAATCACTCACTACGAAAGCAAAAGACTTGGCAGACGATGCACCATCCCCCCAATGAAAAGCAGGGGTGTCACTAGCACGTTAAGAGACCATACAATAAGTGTCAGGGGCCCGAGACTGTTCAACTGCCTCCCAGCACACATAAGGGGGATTACCAACAGACCCCTGGCAGTCTTCAAGCTGGCACTGGACAAGCACCTAAAGTCAGTTCCGGATCAGCCGGGCTGTGGCTCGTACGTTGGTTTGCGTGCAGCCAGCAGCAACAGCCTGGTTGATCAGGCTCTGATCCACCAGGAGGCCTGGTCACAGACCGGGCCGCGGGGGCGTTGACCCCCGGAACTCTCTCCAGGTAAACTCCAGGTAATACACACTTAAATATGTACATATGGATAAAGATCCATGCATACATATACACATGTATCAATATATAACATAACGTATAGGTAATATAAGCTAAAACACAAAGTAAAGCGTACAGCACAATCTGCCTAGACATGTGGCTAGAAGACATAATTTTTGAGTATGACAGTGTACACTGGAGGGCGAGATAACCAGACTTCAGGTCCTATTGAATACCACTTCAGCCAATTCAAGATGATCATCCTGCAGTATATATTTTGTTACCGTAGGGGCGGCCCGCCGTGATGCCTACCAGCCAGGTAATTTACAGTAGAAGGGTTGTTAAAGTGCTCGTCATACCTTAATGGACATTGTTCTAAGTTGTGGTGGTAAGAGGCGGAAGAGGGAAGTCCTGCAGACAGAGTGTAGGGTATTTGTGAAGCGGAGGTTGAGCAGCGTCGCCATACTACTGCGGTGACTTGAGTGATCACTGTTACCAGACACCAAGGTCACTACACCTCTACCTGCCTCGCTAACCGCTACATATATATTCCAACACATTGCTAAACACATCTCTCTTGTGACTTGATAAAACCCCATTGTGTGGGAGAAACGTTGTAAATAAAGGTTCACGTTATACTGCATTTGTCTCTTTCCAAGAGAGGTTCCTGGACGCCTGTGAGGAGCTCTTCATAAAAGAAATTGGACTTCACCTCCCCTTCCTCTGTCAAATCTAGATGCCTCCCCATTCTTCCAGTAGTTGTATGACCCACCTACTGGTTTAGCTCTTCCCCGTGAATGTAATAGTAACGGTTAGTTTAGAAAGACACGTGAGCAAACACTAGGATATTTATTAGAAAACGTTTCGAATCTGGAACCTTGAGTTGCTAGGTAGGTTGAGTATTTATTTATTATTAATTTGAACATGATACAGTGAAGTACAAAGTTATTACAGTGCAACATGCCAAACCACCTTCTATGCAGAGCATTATGAGCAGGCTTAAAATTAACTTAAGATTAACTAAGCAATGATATATTCAGTGGTAAATACATTATTGTAAACAGATAACAATTTAGCACAAATGAGTATTACGAAGACAGGTCATATGGTCATTTACTGTGTTACTGAGCATTCAGTAGATTGGAGTAATCTGTTAGATAATGTAATTAAAAATAACAAAGTTTGATTGAGTCACAGGTTAAACATTTATGAGATACGTTTCGCCACTGTGTGGCGAAACGTTTTCTGAATAAAAATTCTCATATGTTGCATAAGTGTCTCAATCTTCAACTTGTCGGTTTTTCAAACCATTCATCACAACTGTCAGACACTGCAACATCATGGGATCTTGTTACAAAGAATTCTTCAACACTTGTCCAACCTTTGGACGAAGACCTACTTCGACTAGTGGATGGTACCACTATGACCCCACCTCCGCCTGCTTCACCTCACCTCACTACAGTATATCAGCCACGTCTACGGCCCTATGCTTGATCCCCAGCCATGCTGGCATCCGGGGAAATGAGGCGGCAGATGATGCAGCCAAGGCAGCAACAGACTATCCACATGTTGGGATTACTGTCCCAATCAGCCTACGATAGACCAAACTGGTGGCTGCCAGAGCCATGAAACTTATGGGGGAGGTCTTAGGTGATACCCCATCTCAACAGTGGTACCGAGCAGCGACTCAGGGAGAACACCCTCCATATGATAGAAGCTGGTCCAGAGCTCAGTGTACCGCCATCCATCGGCTTCGTTTGGGCTTTCCCACAGCCAAGATGATGGTAGACAAGGCTGAGGAGGAGATGTGCCAGTACTGTCAGCACGTTGTCCAGCGGCCCCTAACACACTATCTTCTGGAGTGTGAAGTTACTGAGACACTCCGCAGGCAACTAGGAGTGATATTCCCTCCCGAAGAGGACCCAGAGATGACTGCGGCCACACTAGTGTACCATGGAGTCAACGAACCAGACAAGCTGTTACCTGTGATAACGACATATCCTCCTCCTCGCTAGTGTCCACAGTTAGGAGTACATCTGGTGTTGTCGCTTATGAGATGCACCAGTTGAACTGACCAGAAGAGTGCTTGAGCAGCATATGTCGCATCATTGTAGAAACCTTTCTCCCTCGGGAGCCAGAGACGGGTCATCGCAAGATTGAGACCCGTGCCAGGACTACAGTCTTGGCGAACATTATACATACATACATACCTATGCTGTACATTCTACAAGATTGATGGACTGAACACATCGACTCCAGGCTGAGGGACTGATTACCTCAAACTCCTCCTCTCCTTACGCCTTTCTACTTTGTATTGAACTGATGAAGCCACTGTGTGGCGAAACGTTTCCTGAATAAAGATTCCCATATGTTGCATAAGTGTCTCAATCTTCAACTTGTCGGTTTTTCAAACCATTCATCACAACACTCAGACACTGCAGCATCATGGGATCTTGTTACATAGAATTCTTCAACACTTGTCCAACCTTTGGACGAAGACCTACTTCGGCTAGTGGATTATACCACTATGACCCCACCTCCTGCTTCGCCTCACCTCACTACAGTATATAAGCCACGTCTTACCTGGAGTTTACCTGGAGAGAGTTCTGGGGGTCAACGCCCTGGTGGATCAGAGCCTGATCAACCAGCTGTTGCTGCTGGCTGCAACAAACCACGTACGGCCACACGGTGATCCGAACTGAACTTTAGGTGCTTGTCCAGTGCCATGCTTGAAGACTGCCAGGGGTCATGTGGTATCCCTTGTTCTGAGCAGTGAACGTCTTGGCCCCTGACACTTATTGTTGTCTCTTAACTGTAGTGACAACCCTGCTTTTCACTGGGGATGGTGCATCGTCTGCCCAAGTCTTGCTTTCGTATGTGCATTTTCGTGCAAGTTCGTATAGTCCTCTAGGATTTTCCAGGAGGGACTATGCTGTACATTCTACAAGATTGATGGACTGAACGCATCGACTCCAGGCTGAGGGACTGATTACCTCAAACTCCTCCTCTCCTTATGCCTTTCTACTTTGTATTGGACTGATGAAGCCACTGTGTGGCGAAACGTTTCCTGAATAAAGATTCCCATATGTTGCATAAGTGTCTTTCTAAAGCAACCTATTATTATGGAAAATTGCATTTATCTGAATGTAACTAATTATGTACATAACAGTAAATGATAACAAAGATAATTATTATTTATCAATGTTACATAGACAAGTAGGAATTTGGGACACCTAGGTCGCAAAAAATGTCCCCCTTCGATACCTACCACTGTCATAACCACAAGTTGCTCTGGACCTATTAATTAAATGAAATATACATACACCAGGAATACTGGTAAATATATAAATTTGTGGACTGTATATTAAAAATAATAAATGGTTATATATATATATACATATACATAACAGAATAAATATATCTTAATATCACTTTACCAATTTGACTGAGATTAATGTGTATCATACTCAGAAAACTCGAACTCGAAACTAAATCTATAAATAATCTGGCCAGAATTCAACACAATCTAGAGAACTTATCTGAGGTACCTGACTGATCTTGTCCAGTCTCGAATATCTCAAAGTTAGCAAGGAATTGACATCCCGAATTTCGCCTCCTATTTGAAGGTCACACAATTTTAACTTCTAGAGCACGAAAAATTCTTCCCATTACACCAACGTTTGTACAAAATTCAAAACCAAGATGGCGAGTCTCGTTTGCTCAGACGCAGGCTTTCCGTATTCTATGACATAAATATTATTAAATACAGTATGGCCATCTATTTACATACAAATACTGAATTTCTGGAAAGTATATACAGTATTTTCCACAATTATTGCTCCAAGAGTTGATGACATCACTTCACACATTTGAACATCAGAATGTTAAAACACTGCAGAAGGCCTACTGGCCCATACAAGGCAGGTCCTTATCAAAATGACCTCTACCCAAAGCTACCCACGAATTTACTCCCGTACCCAATGACACAAATCAAACCCAGCCCCTCCCACTCATATATTTGTTCAATCTCTTTTTAAAGCTGCCCAAAGTCCTAGCCTTGATCACCCTACTGGGAAGATTGTTCCACGCATCCACAACTCTGTTAGAAAACCACTACTTACCTATGTCCTTTCTAAATCTAAATTTATTATTTTCCTTATTTTTTTTTACCTGGTTCCCACAGTCCCAGAAAACTTTACCATATTCACTTGTTTATGCCTGTCTTGCCAAGGGCTTTACACTTCATTTGAATCTCACTTAATCTTCGTCCCCTTCAGAGCAGTGGCATGATATTAAGGACTAATGCTCGTTCCCAATCTTCATAAGATTCTCCTAACACAGTAAATCCATTTGGCCCGTGGCACTGTGCTAAACACCCCTCCACCGAGGGCCTCTGGGTTTCCCAGTCCCTGCAGTACAAAACCTTTTGACACGTTTCCTACCCTCTTACCTTTCCTAGCCGCCCATACCCGCCTGTCTTAGTCGACTGATACCATCTGAAGTTTAAGGACGCCCATATAAGTTAACATGTCCACTGAATCGCATTATTTCTGGGTTATCTGCTGGCTGACCCTCGAGTACTTTAAAAATCCGAACGAAACTTACTAACTTCTGTATTCTCCCGTTATTCTTCGTACCTCTCCTAGAAAGTGGAGATTTAAGACTTTAAGTCCATAATAGCTCAGGAGATCTTAACTGTAAAATCATTTTAGGCCCGGTGGCCTGGTGGCTAAAGTTCCCGCTTCACACACGGAGGGCCCGGGTTCGATTCCCGGCGAGTGGAAACATTTCGACACGTTTCCTTACACCTGTTGTCCTGTTCACCTAGCAGCAAATAGGTACCTGGGTGTTAGTCGACTGGTGTGGGACGCATCCTGGGGGACAAGTTTAAGGACCCCAATGGAAATAAGTTAGACAGTCCTCGATGACGCACTGACTTTCTTGGGTTATCCTGGGTGGCTGACCCTCCGGGGTTAAAAATCCGAACGAAATCTTATCTTATCTTATCTCTGTATGTTCTCCAATGAGTCTATATCCTGTATCCTATATCCTGTAGTAAGGGGACCAAAACTGAGCAGCATAATCTAAATGAGGCCTCACTAGTGATGTATAGAGCTGTAAAATAACTTTTGGACTTCTTTTACTTATACTTCTTGAAATAAATCTAGGTAATCTGTTAGCCTTGTTGCGCACACTAAGGCACTGCTGTCTTGGCTTTAGATTTCTGCTTACCATGACTCCCAAGTCTTTTTCACATTCTGTATGATCAAGCTCTACTTCACCTAGTTTATCCATATTTTTTATTTTTTATTTTTTTATTTTTTAATTTAAGCATACAAACAGAGGTACAAAAAATACAGGTAAGAGCAGCATGCCAAAGCCACTTACATGCATAGCATTATGGGCTAGCTTAAATTGAACTTCATCTGCTGATTGACTGATGAACCAGCAATTAGCATAAGTGGGGCCCCGACTGTTATACTCTTAATTGTTAGTTCACTCGCCAGGTAGGTTTATTTATGTACTAGTGCACATAAAAACCATACCAAGGGCGGGGATAGAACCCGCGATCAGAGAGTTTTGAGACTCTCTGATCGCTGGTTCTATCCC